GTGTCAGAATTAGAAAGGCTAAGGCACAAAACAATCTCAAACTATCTAGAAACATAAAAGGGTAACTAGAAAACATTCTACAAATATATTAGAACCAAGAAGAAGACCTATGACAGGGTAGGACCATTACTTGAAGATGAGGAAAAAACAATAACAGAAAATGTGGAAATGGCAGAGGTGCTTAATGACTTTTTTATTTTCCCCAAGAAGGTTGGTTGTGATAGAGTACCTCACCTAATGAATGCCAGTAAAAATTCAGAAGCTAAAATAGGGAAAAAACAAGTTAAAATTAGGTAGACAAGTTTAAATGTCTTTAGACTCCCCCAGGGCCTGACAAAATGCATCCTAGAACACTCAAGGAGCTGACTGAGGAGATATCTGAGCCATTAGCTATTATCTTTGAAATGTCATGGAATACAGGAGAAATTCCACTGGGGAAAGGTAAATATAGTGCCCATCTATAAAAAGGGAAATAACAACAACCCAGATTATTACAAATGAGTCAGTTTAACTTCTGTATCAGGAAAGATAATTGGGTAAATAATTAAATGCATTTGTAAATATCTAAAATGTAATAAGGTGACAAGTAACAGTCAGCATGGACTTGTAGAGAACAAATCATGTGGAACCAACCTGATAGCTTTCTTTGACTGGATAACAAGGCTTCTGGATAAGGGGGAAGCGGTAGATGTGAAATATCTTGATTTCAGTAAGGCATTTGATATAGTCTTGCATGACGTTCTCATTAACAAGCTAGGGAAACATGACCTAAATGAAGTATAAGCTGGAGCATACCTGAATAGATAACCATTCGCAGAGGTTAGTTATCAATAATTCATGCCAGAAGATCATAATCAAAATTTGCAGTTAATACCAACCTGGAAGAGGTTGCAAGTGCTTTGGAGGAGAGGATGATAACTGAGAATGATCTGGGCAAACTGGAGAAATTGTCTGAGGTAAATAAGGGGAAATTCATTAAGGACATATGCAAAGTACTCCACTTAGGAAGGAACAATCAGTTGCACACATACAGCATAGGAAATGACAACATAGGAAGGAGAACTGCGGAAAGAGATCTAGGAGTCATATTGACCACTAGCTTAATATGAGTCGTCAGTGTGATACTGTTGCCAAAAAAGCAAACATCATTTTGAGATGTATTAATAGGAGTGCTGTAAGCAAGACAGAAGAAATAATTCTTCCACTCTATTGCATGCTGATTAGGCCTCAACTGGAGTATTGTATCCAGTTCTAGGCACCACATTTCAAGTGGACAAGTTCAAAAAAGTCTAGAGAAGAGCAACAAAAATAAAGTTCTAGAAAACATAACCTATATGGGAAGATTGAAAGAACTGGTTTTGTTTAGTCTGGAAAAGAGAAGAGTGAGAGGGGACATAACAGCGTTCAAATACTTAAAAGGTTGTTAAAAGAAGGAGGGAGAAAATCTATTCTTTTTAGCCTCTGATGATAAGACAAGAAGCAACAGGCTTAAATTGGAGCAAGAGAGTGCTAGGTTTGACTTTAGCAGAAGCTTCCTGTCAGGGTGGTTATAAATTGTCAAGGGAGATTGTAGGATCTTCATCATTAGAGATTTTGAAGAGCAGGTTAGACAAACATCTGTCAGGGATAGTCCAGGTGGTGCTTTGTTCTATCGTGAGTGGAGGGGACTGGACTTGATGACCTTTTGAGGTTCCTTCCAGTTCAATGATTTTATGATTCTATAAAGATAATTGAACATAGAGGGCCAAATTCTCCAGCTTAATTTTAATTGTTCTTTGCTCATGCAGTACAAAGGCTCTGGAAATCAGATACATCTTTCAATGGGGGTAACTTTGATATACTGGGCACAGAATCTGCACAATTGAGTCCTTTTGACACCACTGTCAGGAATCCAGGTGTGTGGCATATGTAGGAACAGACATGGGACATGACCAGCACACAGCAGACTGCACCATTTGTTAGTTTAGTACAGTTCTGGGCTAGTGTGGGGGCTACATGAGTGGCCCTCCTTCATCTTAGTGGGCCATGACATTGTCACAACCACGATGATGTCTTGGGATAGGGTAATTTTGCTAACTGTGCTTTTTTACCTATAATTTGTGGGGTGTGCTGATTGAACTCTAACAATGCTTTGATCTGAAACAGAGGGAGCGCTTGGCTCTCACTGTCAATGTTGTGTGCAATCAGCATTCACTTCACATGTACCCTTTACGTGCGCATCATCTTAGTAATACCGATAGGGGAAAAACCCTACACAGATGGAAACCAGTGGAATCTGGCAACCAATGGTAAACAAAGTGTCTTGTGGGCCACACATAGAACCCCGATGGGCTGTGGGTTGCCACCCTCTAGGTTTTCTGTGAATTGCATCAGATCCCTGACTGGAACAGAAGCAGCTAGAGAATCAGGGAGCCATAAGAAGTTCCTTGTTGGCTCCTTCCTGCTCTGTTGCACAGAACAAACAGTACATCAAAAAGTCTGAACCATAATTTGCAACAAATTATTTATCCATAGCATTTAATTGGTTTTCCTTATTGCAGAGTATCCATAAGATTATTGCAATTTCTTCAAAGCTGAAAGAACATAGTGAGTTTTTTTACAAATTTTTCAGTTCTGGGAATTGATTATATTGTCTAATTTGAAAAAAAAAATGAAAACAAATAAAAGGAGCCCAAACAATGCTGAAGTAAATTCATTTGTGTGATTACTTGCAGAAAATAGTTTCCAGTATTTTTCAGCTCTAGAAATAAATGTTTTGTGTTGGGTTATGCCTCAATAAAAAAATGGTCATGTAACAGCAACTTTTCATTACTGATAGATATATGAAAAAGCTTTTTTAAACCAGATAGTTGAAACAATAGCAGCCTTTTCCCAAAACATGGGCACATGCAAGGCATATGTGCGTTGCAAGGTTTTACTGGTTATTATTTGGTGAGGTGTATGCCTCTGTCATATGAGAAAAGCAGAAAAGCAAGGACATTGCTAGAAGAAGCCCTGGGAATGCGACTCTGAGCTTTTAGGTTAAGTACTGACTTGAAAGTGGGTTGGAACTATCCAAAGAAACTTGATTCATACTGTGTTCAGGACTACAAGATTTTGTACATTCTAAATAAACAGGGTACCATCAGAGAAGTACCTGACACCAATATCAAATTTTCCTCCTAACCAAAACAAAACATTAGATCCAAATTTTGATTAACTGCTGGTGTGTAAAAGGTGTAATATGAGTATACAGTGTGATCCTCTGGTGTTTAATATCAGAGGGGTAGCCCTGTTAGTCTGCATCTGTATAAACAATGAGAAGTTCTGTGGCACTTTATAGACCAATCTGCTACTGTGCGTCCAGGGAGATTGAAGTGTTCCCCTACAGGTTTTTGTATGTCACCAGACACAAATCAAATATCAGGAATGGTAACATACAAAAACCTGTAGGAGAACATTTCAGTCTCCCTGGACACACAGTAGCAGATTTAAAAGAAGTCATCCTGCAACAAAAAAACTTCAAAAACAGACTTCAAAGAGAAACTGCAGTGCTACAATTCATTTGCAAATTTGACACTATCAATTTAGGAATAAACAAAGACTGTGAATAGCTACCCAGCTACAAAAGCAGTTTTTCCTCTCTTGAGCTATGACTAGACTGCACCTCTCTTGCGCAAAAGCCTATGCAAATGAAGCATGGAATAGCATATTACCACACTTCATTTGCATAATTAATTAGGGGGCCTTTTTGCACAAAAATCCCTCGAGCAAGAGCTGTTCTTCCTCACTGTTTCACGAAGAACAGCTCTTGTGCAAGAGGCAGTTTTTGCACAAAAAGGAGCTGTGTAAATAGCTCCTTTTTGTGCAAAAACTGCCTCTTGCACAAGAGCTGTTCTTCGTGAAACAGTGAGGAAGAACAGCTCTTGCTCGAGGGATTTTTGTGCAAAAAGGCCCCCTAATTAATTATGCAAATGAAGTGTGGTAATATGCTATTCCATGCTTCATTTGCATAGGCTTTTGCCCAAGAGGGATGCAATGTAGATGGAGCCTCGATGTTCACAACTCCACATAAGCTGCTAGAAGTGGGCTACATCCTCCCTGACTGAATTCACCTTGTTATCTCTGACCTTCCTCTTGATGTTTCCTCATTTCCTCATTTCTTTTCATGTGCCTGTATATTTATGCCTGCCTCTGGAATTTCCATGACACGCATCTGATGAAGTGGGTCTTTGCCCACGAAAGCTTATGTTCCAATAAATCTGTTAGTCTGTAAGGTGCCATAGGATTTCTTGTTGTTTCTGGTGTTTAAGAGTTTGGATTACTCCAGGGGTTAGCCAACAAAATGCCAGTTTTTACTTGTGCTGCTGTTGAATTTCACCCAGAAAAACTATTATTCAGTCTTTACTTTGATTTAATTCCCCCCATTCAATGAATGTAAGCTACAGAAGCAAAGCATTACATTGATATAACAAAATAGTTTCCTTACAGTTATCTTGCAATTATTTCCCCCTCCTATTTTGTTGATGTCTAGGAGTAAACCTTGGAGTAGATAAAAGCTTTCACATAAAATGTTCTTGTTGATCTAAAGGCTTATATAACCCTTCTTTGTTATTGTTTTAATCCATTAAGTATATTAAAAGAGAAGCACTATAACTTGATGGCTGCCAAAATATTAATAAACCTTTTCCTAATAAAGGGAGAAAGATAACTTTTAGCAACCCTTTTGAATTAAGCTTCCTGCATAAATAAGGTACAAACACAAGAATCATAGTAAATGGTGCATTTAGGCTCTACAAGAAAAATGTGCAACAAAATAAACAGTGAGGTTGTACACAGGCTATTCAATAGTGAATACTATAGCGATGGTGGAATGTGTTCATAAATATTTTAATCGTATTAGAAGTGTTGAATCTGCAAAACAAATTGCTTTTCCAGTAGTCCCTAGAAGTTAGGATATACTGTGACTTCAAGACTGACATGATAAATATGCTCTTCTTGGTCTTATTTCACCTGTTTAGGAACAGCCACTCCACAGCCGCCAACATGCAGCACTGACCAGTTCACTTGTGTGTACGTACGGCAGTGTGTACCTCTTGCTGTAAAATGCAATGGGGTGGAAGATTGTATGGATGGAACCGATGAAATGAATTGTCCTACTGAGATTCCTACCACTGCTTCTCCATGGCTTTGCAAGGAAACAGAATTCCTGTGTGCTAATAAAGGTTGTGTTCCATCACTTTTGAGATGTGATGGCGTGTCCGACTGCCAGTTTAATGAAGATGAAACCGATTGTCGTAAGTTACATTTAGTGATGTAGTTATGTCCATGCTAAATAATTTTCATGATAAGACACTAGAACTATGCATAAAAAATCCAAATCCTGTAAATTTAGTAATATTCCATAGTTAACAACATGACATTTCTTTTGTATCAGCATATCATATACAATCCTTTGAAATGAGCCCAATTCTTCAAATCTTTTTTGTCTTCATGTAGATGTGCCCTAGTTTTTTAGGTTGTTAACAAGGTAGTTTCTTTGGGATTTTGCACACCAATTATGTAGCACATTAATCTAATTCTTAAACAACAGGCACATTAATAGGAGAGAATTCAGTGACATTTGTGTTATAGTAGCATAGCATCCAACATTTAAGGAATCCAAACCCTGTTGTGGTAGTAACAATCTAGCCTACTACAGAGCCCCATCACCAGTGGTTTAGATTAAGGGAGAATCACCTCCTTACTGGACTTTATAAAGTGTCAGCCTCCTAGGTTGCTCTATGTCAGCCACTCAGTTTAATGAACACTGCCACGCTCTCTGTTGGGTACTTCCTTGCACACCTTGTGGCAGTTACTGTGGAGAACAATGCTGCTCTTTCTGCCCTTGCCTTAAAAACACTAGATGTACCTCTCACCAACTTCAGTGGGTTTTGGATCAGATCCTATTCTCCTCTCATTTCATGTGTATTTCCCTTCACAATTTCATTTACCTGGCTATACGAACAGAAAGCCACATGTTCATCCTGTTCCAGAGTCCCAGATTGTATCAAGTGATAGCATCATCTCCCAGGATGAAGACAGGTTGGCAAAATGTGTTCTGTAGAGATAAAGTATAAATCCTGAAAGAGGCCATAGGAACAGAAAACAAATACAAATGCATTAGTTACAACTCTACAAGAACCACCGTCATTGCCACAAAAATGTTTGCATGTATGATTTAAAGATTTATGTAGAAAGAAATTTCCTGCAGAGGTCACTGAACATTTTGCTTGCATAGTGTCATGTGAATGTAGTATTAGAATGGTTAGTGTGGCGGCTTTTATTCCTTGTTGCTCTTTACAACAGAAACTTGAAAGTATGTTGCTTTTATAAATGCTCTGCTTAGCTAACCCTTCTGTCACTTCCAATTTAATAAAGGTTCTTTCTTTCTTTCTTTCTTTCTTTCTTTCTTTCTTTCTTTCTTTCTTTCTTTCTTTCTTTCTTTCTTTCTTTCTTTCTTTCTTTCTTTCTTTCTTTCTTTCTTTCTTTCTTTCTTTCTTTCTTTCTTTCTTTCTTTCTTTCTTTCTTTCTTTCTTTCTTTCTTTCTTTCTTTCTTTCTTTCTTTCTTTCTTTCTTTCTTTCTTTCTTTCTTTCTTTCTTTCTTTCTTTCTTTCTTTCTTTCTTTCTTTCTTTCTTTCTTTCTTTCTTTCTTTCTTTCTTTCTTTCTTTCTTTCTTTCTTTCTTTCTTTCTTTCTTTCTTTCTTTCTTTCTTTCTTTCTTTCTTTCTTTCTTTCTTTCTTTCTTTCTTTCTTTCTTTCTTTCTTTCTTTCTTTCTTTCTTTCTTTCTTTCTTTCTTTCTTTCTTTCTTTCTTTCTTTCTTTCTTTCTTTCTTTCTTTCTTTCTTTCTTTCTTTCTTTCTTTCTTTCTTTCTTTCTTTCTTTCTTTCTTTCTTTCTTTCTTTCTTTCTTTCTTTCTTTCTTTCTTTCTTTCTTTCTTTCTTTCTTTCTTTCTTTCTTTCTTTCTTTCTTTCTTTCTTTCTTTCTTATTGAATAATCTAAAATGGAAAGGATATAAAATAGACACATAAACACCTGAGGGGTATATACATTGCTTTCCACATGCCCCAACAGAATTTGACATAAGAGCTAACAGTGGTGACTAAGAAAAGATTTTTCATTTCTCTACAGTGCAATCAAATGAATCTGTGGTTCACCTATATGCTTCCAAAGACATCATAAATGTTAAAAATATACATTTTCAAAAAGGGTCTGTCTGTCTCTCTGCCTTTCTACAGCCTTAATTTGTACCTAAAAAATGTATTGTGGGGGGCAAATCTGAGAATTTGTGCCCATTTGCACCCATTTTAAAACTCTGCATTTGGCATCTGCATATTTAAAAATATTTAGGTGGTTCCTCATGATAGTAAATTACAACTTTGCTGGAGCATATTGCATTGGGTGAATGACATAGTGTGTTGATTGTATACAAAGTATTAATGCAATGATACAGTAGAAATATCAATATTAAAAAGTCAGGAAATTCTAAAAGTTAGTTACTGCTACACTGATAGTTCACTCACGTTGCCCTTCGTAACCCCATGTGGTGGTGCAATGCAGTCATGAAACAGAACTACTCTCTGGAAAGGGGAATGCTCGGTTGATGCAGAGCCACTCTCCCCGGTGCAGGCGGGGAGAAGGTGAACTGGAGTGAAAAGGGCATATCCAGGGCAGCTCTATATCCCAGCAAACCCTAGATACTAAAACAACCCTTGGGGCTAATGACACTCAGCACAGAGTAGAGCAGCAGCCCAAATTGTCTTACCCTATAGTGTCAGTCTAGCAGACAGCCAGTCTGAAGGTTGGGGGAAGCAGAAGTGTTTCTATGCCACATTTGTTCCTCCAACACAAGCGGTGCTGAGCACAATGTAAATGTATAGCCCAGGTCCAGAGTTGCTAAGTTTATCGCGGTGTATATTAAACAACTTAAGCAGTATCGCATGCATCCTTACACAGAGCATCTTTAAAATAGGTATGTAAGAGAAATCAGGTACAAAACGTCAAAAGGATATAAGTGAAATTGCTGAGGTTAAAGTCTTGACTTTTTAAAATGTCAAACTCTCCAGGCTGTATGCAATTTCACCCCGATTTCCTGAATGCAATTACTGATTACTGCAGTTATAGACTCCAACTTGTATTTTTGTGCAAATGACACAAGTTACATGATCCCATTGATGATGCAAAGGAAGAAAAGCTAGACAAGATTTCCTAAAATGACTAGTAATTATGGATATATTTAAAGTCCATGGTAAATTGTCAGTGTGTAAGATTTATAGACCTGATCCTGTGAACCTCTACTTCTAGGAGTCTACTTGTTAGAGAGATTGCCTGCATTAGCAAGAGTTGGCAGGATCTGATATAATATTCCTATTGCAAGGTTGAAGTGCAATATTTTATATTCAGCATTTTCTTTTGGCTTAGTGCAATCCAGTCATTTAGAGTGCTTAAAATATTCCTAAATTTTCTCATGCTTGTTATAAATTTAAATCTGGGTCAAATTTTGCTCAGGTACATCAATGATAAGTCTAACTCAAATGAAAACAGAGCGCTATTCCTGCTTTATGGAAGTGTAAAAATGGAGAAAAGAATTTAGCTCACAATCCCTTAAACCAGGATGTTCAGAAATAATGGCTCAGGGGCAGTGCAACAGAACATTTCATTAGCTAGAATGTTTCTCAAAGTGACAAAATGCTGTTAGCTTCTGGGAGAGAATGCAGAACTACTGGGTACATCTTATAGATCAGTGATGCCATAATGAATTACCTGGAGGCTTATGTGATTCTGTCAAGATTTCCCTGATATAATTCCTTTAGATGAGTTTAGAGAGTAATACTGAATGTTACAGCATGACAAATGTCTGTATGTTTAGATTTTTAATGTAGCTTTTCTTTGCTTTTATTATATCAACCATATACAGTGTTTAGTTTCTAGCAACAAAATCGGACTACATTTAAAGCAATTTTCTGTTCTATGTTTAAGAATTAATTTATTTATTTTTATCCCTGAGTTATCTAGGCAGGTTGATTATGTTTACTGATATCTGATTGTGGATTTTTGTTCTTTATTCCATCTATAACATCAAATACAAACATCCCTCTCTCAGGAGTTTAACATGGTAAAAGCTCAATTCAGCAAAATAAGCTGTCTTTTTTTAATGTCTAACTTGCACTCTTCTGAAATGGAAGGTTATAATGGAAATGCCGATCCAGATTTGTATACTTTGACATAAATAAGCTGCTATAGTTTTCCAGTAGTGTTTTATCACCGAATAAAGGAAATGTGTCTGACCATGTCATCTTGTTACTTTGTTCCAGCTACAAAGGACTGCTTCAATGGTTCTTTATTTTGTGCATCAACTAATACGTGTATTCCAGTTTCCAAGCGCTGTGATGGGATTGCAGACTGCTTTGATTTCAGTCTTGATGAATCCAGCTGCTCAGGTAGTCAGTTTCACATCAAAATATCATCTCAATAAAAATACAGAGTTTTTTTATTTAACCTGCAAATGGTGCAAAATACTGACTGAATTTTGAGATATTATGTTATTTTTGTAGAAAGGATAGTGGGAGAATGAATGAAAAATATGGCTGGTTTTAGAGGGGGGGTTTTTGTTTTTTTTTTTTTTATTTTTGTTATTTTTTTATTATATAAAAATTACAATAAAATCTCTATCCTGCAAACATGTAGGCTTCATTTCAATTATGTGAATAGTACCAGTAAAGTGAAATGAACATTTGGACATCCCTGGGATTTCCTAGGCTTAAAGCACAGTGCACATGTTGGACTGGGGCCTAAAACAGGAAATAGAGAGTGCATCTTAACAGAATAAAAATATTTCAGAGCTTGAAATTTTTAGTACAAAAGGAAAATAATGGATGAAAGTAAAAATAGGAAGTGCTATATATCTAATGAAAAGCATCTTTAGGACAAACTTTTTGAATATTATCCTAAGTGTTCACATATATACATAGGGCTACATTTTGCATTCAGATGTTAATATAAAGCACCCACTGACTTCTGGTAGAGCACCTACAAAAAGAAAATGTAGACTACAAATACAGTTGATGCATGGATGGACAGATAGATATGAAACATATAATATGTTGCTATGAAAAAGTCACAGTGATATAAAATGTTTGGTAAATAGATGTTGCAATCTATTTTTGGTAAATGTTTTATGTTTTGAGTCGATGTTATGAATGCAAAGAAGTATATCTAGTATCCAATTAAAAATAGATGATTGTGATATAGTAAATAAAGCCGTAAATTCAAAGAGTGGTAAAAAGGGCCTCCTGCTGCTTTTTGGGGTGGCTTATCTTTTAAATAATTTGCTTCCCACACTATCTTGCTGGAAATTCAGGAATCTGCATGGAATAACTTATCTGTCACTTTTATTTTCTGTCTCCAGCAAACAGCTCATATTATTCATTTTATCTGACTCTATTCAGCAGTGAATTTGGCCAACATTTTCTCCCTTTCCAGAAGGTGGCCCATATCATGTTGTTGACTCTAACATAACCCTTGTACCTAGGCCCCAATGAAGTCAGTAAGGGTACGTCTAGACTACAGGCTTTTGTCGACAGAAGTTTTGTCAAGCTGCTTTGTCGACAAAACCCTGTAGTCTAGACACAACCCTAGATGCAATAACACCTTCTGTCGACAGAAGTCTGTCGACAAAAGGCATTATGCCTCGTAAAATGAGGTTTACCAGCGTCGACAAAACTGCTGAGTTCTGTCGACGTTATGTCGACAGAACTCAGCGGTAGTGTAGACGCAGGTATAGTTTTGTCGACAAAAGTCCACTTTTGTTGACAAAACTCTGTAGTCTAGACACACCCTAAGGCACCCACATAGTGTTGGAGAGTGGCCATGCCATGCCCAGCAAGTTGCATGATCAGGACAATGGTGTGGATTTAATAACTTTCTCTGGTCTCATAAAATTGCAATTTTGTTATCTTAACAAATATTGTTCAGATAATGCTGTATGGTTTCTATGGTTATTTCAGGATACACTTTCAAATCAATGAGCCACTGCCATTGATTAATGGAAGTTCTATCATTAAGAACTGAAACTGGAACTAGTCACAGTGGAGATCATATACATAGGCAAACATGTAACGGTACTCAGTAATATTTTTGCCTCTGGTTCTACAAAACTTAGTCAGATGCTTGACTTTATCATCAAGTCAGAATCATAGAATCATAGAATACTAGAAGTGGAAGGGACCCTGAGAGGTCATTGAATCCAGTCCCCTGCTCTCATGGCAGGACCAAGCACTATCTAGATCATCCCTGATAAATGTCTATCCAACCTGCTCTTAAAAATCTCCAGTAATGGAGATTCCACAATCTCCCTAAGCAATTTATTCCAGTGTTTAACCACCCTGACAGTTAAGAAGTTTTTCCTAATGTCTAACCTAAATCTTCCCTTGCTGCAATTTAAGTCCATTGCTTCTTGTCCTGTCATTAGAGGCCAAGGAAAACCATTTTTCTCCCTCCTCCTTGTAACACTCTTTTAGATACTTGAAACTGCTATCATGTCCCCCCTCAGTCTTCTCTTTTCTAAACTAAACAAGCCCAATTCTTTAAGCCTTGTCTCATAGTTCCTGTTTTCTAGACCTTTAATCATTTTTGTTGCTCTTCTCCGGACGTTCTCCAGTTTCTCCACATCTTTCTTGAAATGCAGTGCCCAGAACTGAAGACAATACTCTAACTGAGGCCAAATCACCACAAACTAGAGTGGAAAAATGACTTCTTGTGTCTTGCTCACAACACTTCTGTTAATACATCCCAGAATCATGTTTGCTTTTTTTGCAACACTGTCACACTGTTGACTCATAGGGTATATATACGGAGTAGAGTTTTTTTCGGAAAAACTAAGCTTACGTCCACACTACAATTGCGTTCTTTTGACAAAGTTGAAAGAACACAGAGGGGTTTGCCGATAGCAGTAAATCTCTTTTTATGAGGAAGAAGCCTTTTTCCAAAAAAGCTCTTTCAAAAAAAGGTGTGTGTGGAAGGGGAAGAGGTTTTTTTTTTTTTTTCAGAAGAAGAGACCTCCAGGAAAAAGCGCAGATGCCTTGGTGGCCACTCAGTCCATAGTAATTACAATCAATGTGGATGCTATCTTTCAAAAAAGCAGATCGCTTTTTCCATGCACTTTTGGTATGTAGATGCTCTCTTTCGAAAGATGGATTTCCAGGAGACCTCTTCTGGAAAAGCTTCTTCCAAAAGAAACTTGCAGTCTAGAGATGATTCACTATGTCCCCTAAATCCCTTTCAGCAGTATTCCTTCCTATACAATCACTTCCCATTCTGTATGTGTGAAACTGATTGTTCCTTCCTAAGTGGAGTACTTTGTATTTGTCCTTATTAAGTGTCATCCTATTTACCTCAGACCATTTCTCTAGTTTGTCCAGTTCATTTTGAATTTTGACCTATCCTCCAAAGCACTTGCAGCCTCCTCCCAGTTTGGTGTTATTTGCAGACTTAATAATCGTACTCTCAATGCCATCATCTAAATCATTAATGAAGATATTAAACAGCACCGGTCCCTGAACAGGCCTCAGTGGAACCCCACTTGTTATGCCCTTCCAGCATGATTGTGAACCATTAATAACTACTCTCTAAGAATGGTTATACAGCCAGTTATGCACCCACCTTACAGTAGCCACATCTAGCTTGTATTTCTCTAGTTTACTGATAAGAAGGTCATGAGAGACCGTATCAAATGCCTTGCTAAAATCTAGGTATACCATGTCCACGGCTTCTCCCTTACCCACAAGACTTGATATCCTATCAAAGAAAGCTATCAGATAGGTTTGACATTATTCGTTCTTTACAAATCCATGCTGGCTGTTACCTTATTATCACCTTATTATCTTCCAGATGCTTGCAGATGAATTCTTTAATTACTTGCTCCATTATTTTCCCTGGCACAGAAGTTAAACTGACTAGACTGTAGCTTCTTAGGTTGTTCTTATTTCCCTTTTTATAGATGGGCACTATATTTGCCTTTTCCAGTCTTCTGGAATCTTTCCCAACTTCCATGAGTTTTCAAAGATGATAGCCAATGCCTCTATCAGCTCCTTGAGTATTCTGGGATGCATTTTATCAGGTCCTGACGATTTGCAGACATCTAACTTTTCTAAGTAATTTTTAACTTGTCCTTTTTTTATTTTAACTTCTAAACCTACCCCATTCCCACTAGAATTCACTATGTTAGGAATCCCAACAGCATCAAACTTCTTGGTGATAACTGAAACAAAGAAGTCATTAAGCACCTCCGCCATTTCCATGTTTATGCCTGTTCCTGTTTCTCCCTCTTCACTGAGCAATGGGCCTACACTGTTCTTCATCTTCTTCTTGCTTCTAATATATTTGTAGAACATCTTTTTGTTACCCTTTATGTCTCTCACTAAATTTAACTTGTTTTATGCCTTTGACTTTCTTCTCTTGCCCCTGCATACCTGTGTTGTTTGCTTATATTCATCCTTTTTACTCCAGAGACCTCCCATTAAAGGCGATGAGACTTGAATTACAGGATAGTAACCTAAATTGTTTTACTGCTATAGATATTGCCATGAGTATACACACCAGTGGACTGCTTTGAAAGTTTAGAGTAGTATGTACCTGCCCGATGTAATTATATAATTGTAATTTGGGGCAATATTCAATGATAATAAACTAGAAAATAAAACCAGGCATATGTTAATTGTAATGGGGAAAAGTACTAATATCAAATATGTGTAAACATTATTGTATTACTTTTAAAACCTTGGGTTTTATTTTGGAGTTATTTGGTATTTTTTTAACATTAAATCTGTAAGTGCTCAATTATATGTAAATTTAAGGTGACCTCATGCCCAGCAAATACCCAAAGTGTGTCAAAAGCCATAACAATACTTGACTTGGGAAGGCTTCCTTTTTAAACTTATTCTATTAAAACTGATTTCCCTTGAGATGTATGAACATATATCCATGAGCAGTCTTTAATGAAAAGACTGCCACACAGCAGATGGTAAGCATCTGATCTTATCTTATCCTTACATTTAAACTATTAGTGAGAATATCAGACATAGGCACTAAATCAGTCTCAGAAGTTCCACATTTTAATTCTTTTACCTATTGCATAGCATTGGGAATCTTCATATTTTAATATCAGAAGGTTCCCACGAATGACAGAAGCCCCACTAAAAAGTCATGTAAAATTTGACCAGAGAAATCACTGGGGCCCTGATCCAGCAAAGCACAGAGATTACTTTAAGCACAAGTAGTGCTATTAATTTGGTGAAGGTACTAATATGCTTGGACTGGGCAGATGACCAGATATGTTATTGAATCAGGGTCTACAGTACTGGTTTTCAGAAATGCTCAGAACCCAAAACACCAGATATACTAAATGAAAGCCATGAATATTCTGCACCTGATCTTATATAGGAATACATTTTGTATTGACAAAAGGAACAGACTAATTTTTATTACAACTTTCTTTATCTAATTATCTTTGTTTCCTTATATTTCCTAGGTTGTCCGGAAGACTATTGCAGAAATGGAGGAACTTGTGTCATTAGAGATGCTGTTCCTTTATGCCAGTAAGCTTTACTTCCTTATTATTTTGAGAAGTTTATTTTGTTCCTTACAAATAGAATTGTCATTGACAATGTACTGCTGAAGAGTAAATTTGCACTGCATGAGTTTTCACTATTCTCATTTACAGTATCTGAGTGAATAAGACACCAACAAAAAATGAGGGCATTTTAAGAAAAATATTAGCTAACAAGTAGAATTTTCCATGACTTTTATACGTCCTGAATTAGTATGGACATCCTTCTTTTTAACACCTAATATTTCCTCTGTATCTTATTGTACAGAAGCATTTAAAAGAGCATATTATTATGTAAAATAATGCCTTATTTACAGCAGACATATTGTGCATCTCAAGGAAAATTCATAATAGTCCATGTTCTTAGATTTGCATTAATTTGTGATGTATCTCTGGCATAGTATTACTTATTCTATATATTTCAACTTCTACTTTTCAGATTAATATGCCTACAGTATTAAGAGAGTGAGTCTGGGGTGGCTGCTTATGCTATTGAGCAAAAACAAGCAAATCCTCTAATCAAGGTGAATGCTGAGAGTAGCTTTACCTACTCGGTGCCCTTCATAAGTCTCTGTCACAGGTGAATGCAAGAAAATGCTGTTTCTAATTTTTAAATGGGGCCTCAATTCACCTGCTGTATGACTTGTTCAGACTTAGAGACTATCAAACAACAGTTGTTGCATACCTTTGATAGTCACAGCCAAAAGGGCTGGTAGAAATATGAAGGTTCATTTGTGGAGGGTGGGCACTTCAATCCCTATGCTGAAAAAAAAGTACAAATAAAACATGGTAGGCGCAAGTCTCGGTCGACTTTCAACATCTTTTTGATGTCTCCAGCACAATGTTGGCAGATGTGAATCCTGCCATTCAGTTCATGTTGCTGAATGTAAATTCATTAGTTGATAAATCATAAAAAGTAATAACTTTATTAAGGGAGAGAGGCCCCTTTACGCATACTGCTGATGAAAGTATGACACTACAGGACTTATATTGATGTTATAGTCTTCAGCTAGGTTTACAATTAAACATAGAGCAGTGGTGGATTGAAGCTTTGGTAGGTCCATATTATATTTGCACCTGAGCTGAAGATCTCCCACTGACTTGTATGTGAATCCTGAGTTGAGGCTTGTTTTGATGTGCGTGCCACTCCAGTGCCCCCCATGGATTCCTTCTTGACCAGATTAAGTTCTTATCTATAGTGGATGTGCAACGGAATGCCTAATTTACTGATCACAATGGTTGTGCTTCCAAATCAGATAACTGTGTGCAAAGCTGACCATAATTATTTGCTCACTAAGTTACCTGATTCACAATCTTATTCACAATCTTATTAATTACATACATAAATTAGATTCATAATTGTGCATGCAAAATATAGGTACAGTTGTGTATCTAATTTGCTTTAAAATTAGGCCCCAAATTAGACCACTTTCAGAGGAAATTTTGCACAGAAATGTTGACAATAATAGGCACACACTGAAAATGTGTGGTGATATTGCTCTGAAGTGTGATAGTATAGTGACTAAAAGACTGTTCAAGTGCCAGAATGAAATCTGGGGGCAAGAGAATATTTTCTTACCAGATTGATTATACATGGTTTTAACTCTAATACTAGCCAGACAGAAATTATGGTACTGCACATTACATTTAATACATTCCACTGCTCACATACAATAAATTCAATATACTACTTTCTCTCTCCTCTATTTAAAGAAGACATTGGATATATAGCAGACCAAATTTAGGATAAAGGATATCTACCCACTATAAAGGAGAACAAAAAAGCATACTTTCATTAATGCCTGAATTGTAAGGGCAATTTATTGTTAAGTAGAAAAAGTAATTACATCCCCTGCCCTGTAGTTAAACAGTGGTGTTAGAAAAATATCATCATTCAACAGTTTTTCAGTTATACTGAATATGTGCAATCTATCCAATTGAGCTACAGAGATTAGAATTTCAAAGAAACATCATTCACAGATAATTAATTGAGGTTATATTTATGCCCGTGTATCTCAGAAAAATTTGGCTTTACTCACAATATATAGAAATCTGGGTTGATTTTGTTTTACTGGATTAAAATGAGAAAGATACATTTTCCTTTTTATTTTACAGAGGAGAACTGAGATTACAGGACTATAATTGATTCAGAAGACCTTTTTACCTATTTCTTCTTAGAAATGCTAGCTAGCCTCAAATTTTTACTCATTAGTCTTAAGAGAAGCTCTTTACTACTGACATAAATAATCTATTTGAATGCACAGTCAAAGTGGTTTATTGCCTGTGGCACAATACTGTTTAACAGCATTGCATGAAAAGACAAAAGTGGAACTTTTTTGTAGCTAGACATTTTCCTCAGTGTTTGATCTGGTCTCTCAAATTCTAAATCCTGTAATATTGCAGGAATTTGTACTTTTGAAAGCCCAGTCCCCATATACAATTCTAAATAACGCCATAGATTTTTGATACTAGATAAAGGCCATAAATGGCTCTGTAAAATTGACTTATATCTACGGTGGTTCAAAGTTTGAGGGAGACATAAATGTTGTATAAGTGAATACATGCTAATAGTATGGTAGGGTGGGGATGTAGCAAGAAAAACAACCAAGCCTAGGTTGTACATAAATCAACCTCTCCTTTGTTAGAAACAGTATTGTCTACAATACAGTTTTAGAGTTCAAGAGTGGGAATAAGTAGATCTAGGTTTAATTCCCAGTTCTACCAATGACTCAGTGTGTGACATTAGGTGATCCTCTTAATCAGTGTCTACATTCATCAAATGGAGATAAAACCTATTGTACCCACATTTGTAAACCAATTTGAGATCTTTTGATGAAAAATGCCATTTTAAATAATTAATAGTGTAATTATTATTTTAATTAATTAAAATCTCAATATAAATGTGATGTGTACTCTGTTATGCTTATCATAAGAACATAAGAACGGCAGTACTGGGTCAGACCAAAGGTCCTTCTAGCCCAGTATCCTGTCTACCAACAGTGACCAGCACCAGGTGCCCCAGAGAGGGTGGACCGAAGACAATGATTGAGCGATTTGTCTCCTGCCATCTCTCTCCAGCCTCTGAAAAACAAAGGCTAAGGACACCATTTTATCCCCTGGCTAATAGCCTTTTATGGATCTAACCTCCATGAAATTATCTAGCTTCTCTTTAAACTCTATTATAGTCCTAGCCTTCACAGCCTCCTCTGGCAAGGAGTTCCACAGGTTGACTACACACTGTGTGAAGAAGAACTTTCTTTTATTCGTTTTAAACCTGCTACCCATTAATTTCATTTGGTGTCCTCTAGTTCTTCTATTTAGGGAACTAATAAATAACTTTTCTTTATCGGCCCTTGTGACGGACCGGGCCGTGTCTGGGCACAGCTGAGGGTGTCTGCTCAGGGTGAATCGCTCAAATCCGGGCTCCTTACAGCCCCCAGACTGGTGACCTTTCCAAACCGGTCACAAACCAGTCCCACAGAGCGCTTCAGCAGCCTGCCTGAAGCCTCACGAGCAAAACCCCTCCGACACCCCAGCAATATCCGTGCCCCAGATGGCCCTGGGTCTCATACACAGGTGGGGGGTCCTAACACCCACCCCACCTACCCCAAACAAGTTCTGTCCGGTTCCAAGAAACCAACCACAGATACTGGGTCAATTTACCCTCTGGACCTTACCCACAAATCACGCTGGGCCAATCTTTTAGAATCTATATCTAAAGGTTTATTATTACAATAAAGAAAAGCATGAGAGTAAGGTTGTTAAAGACCAACACAAGGTGCCCCAGAGGGGGTGGACCGAAGACAATGATCAAGCGATTTGTCTCCTGCCATCCCTCTCCAGCCTCTGACAAACAGAGGCCAAGGACACCATTTTATCCCCTGGCTAATAGCCTTTTATGGACCTAACCTCCATGAAATTATCTAGCTTCTCTTTAAACTCTATTATAGTCCTAGCCTTCACCGCCTCCTCTGGCAAGGAGTTCCACAGGTTGACTACACGCTGTGTGAAGAAGAACTTTCTTTTATTAGTTTTAAACCTGCTACCCATTAATTTCATTTGGTGTCCTCTAGTTCTTCTATTATGGGAACTAATAAATAACTTTTCTTTATCAGCCCTCTCCACACCACTCATGATTTTATAGACCTCTATCATATCCCCCCTCAGTCTCCTCTTTTCTAAACTGAAAAGTCCCAGTCGCTTTAACCTCTCCTCATATGGGACCCGTTCCAAACCCCTAATCATTTTAGTTGCCCTTTTCTGAACCCTTTCCAAGGCCAAAATATCTTTTTTGAGGTGAGGAGACCACATCTGTACACAGTATTCAAGATGTGGGCGTACCATAGTTTTATACAGGGGCAGTAAGATATTCTGGGTCTTATTTTCTATCCCTTTCCTAATAATTCCTAGCATCCTATTTGCCTTTTTGACCGCCGCTGCACTCTGTGTGGAAGTTTTCAGAGAACTGTCCACGATAACTCCAAGATCTCTTTCCTGATTTGTCGTAGCCAAATTAGCCCCCATCATACTGTACGTATAGTTGGGGTTATTTTTCCCGATGTGCATTACTTTACACTTATCCACATTAAATTTCATTTGCCATTTTGTTGCCCAATCACTCAGTTTGGTGAGATCTTCTTGGAGTCCCTCACAGTCTGCTTCTGTCTTGACTATCCTAAACAGTTTGGTATCATCTGCAAACTTTACTACCTCACTGCTTACCCCTTTCTCCAGATCATTTATGAATAAGTTGAAAAGGATTGGTCCCAGGACTGACCCTTGGGGTACACCACTAGTTACCCCTCTCCAATCTGAAAATTTACCATTTATTCCTACCCTTTGTTTCCTGTCTTTTAGCCAGTTCTCAATCCAAGAAAGGACCTTCCCTCTTATCCCATGGCCATGTAATTTACACAAGAGCTTTGGTGAGGGACCTTGTCAAAGGCTTTCTGAAAATCCAAGTATACTATATCTACTGGATCCCCCTTG